TCAAGGAGCTTCTGAGTGTCTTTCTTCCAGGTATTATGTGAGTCCTTTCAGCTTCTCAGCTGGGAAGATAAGTAGCAAGTACAGTCAGGAGTCACATCCTCCTACTCTAAGAAGCAGCCAGATATCTTTCTCCATCCACAGCAGGTACAGAGCTCTGTGCTTTGTGAATATGGGGAAAGATAAAATAAGCCAGATGTGTTGAGGTGGGGCATGGGGGCAGGCCTTCACCTTAGCTGGAGCGGCAGAAAAATTCAGTCTTTGAGACCAGTCCTGATCCCCATCTCTGGATTGAGGGGACTAGATAAGGACTTAATTGTCTACCCTTGTGCTCAGTTTCTTACAATCTAAACAGTAAATCGTGAGATTTCACAGAACACTTATTTTTGCTTTAGTTTTGTGTGTGTACTGAGTTGTGTTCCCAAATAATGCCAGAATTTATATTCCATTTGCCATTCTGCTTTGTTATCCCCAAATTTAGGTCCAGGATGTGCAGAATGCAGTGCTTCAAATGTTGGAGTGCAAGATTTCTCACCACGAGCTTCTGAGAATTGTAGCCTGACATCTGAAGTGTCGGACATCATTGCCCCCTCCTACTGTAGTCAAAGAACTGTACAAGTATTGCTTCTTTTCCTCTTTTCCATTTGCTTTGCTGTCGTACAACAAACACAACAGGCCTTTTTTGCTTCTTGTCTTTTTACTTCAAGGGAGCCTTGTGTTCAGATTCCATAATCTGTATCATGGTTGTTGTTGCATGTAGATCAACTATTATTTTCTCTTCTTTGGCATGTACATGTTTTACACTGAGGATTATTGTAGGAGAGAGCCATATTGTTTCTAAGGCTGAAATAGTTTTGTTGTGCATACAAGGGCAATTGTACAAGAAGTTTTTCCAGTTTGCCAGTCGATTGCACTACTAGTGGATGAACTGGCGCATGAGGGCAGCTACCTAATGCTTACCACTGCTTGCATAGCTGACATTACACAGTCGAGTAATGCAACAGGATTTAGAGCTCAGTTTTATTTCTCAACTGCTAATGGCTTAGATACTTTTGTTTTGTAATATAAAAGTTGAAATCTTGCTTTATCCATGACTCTGGCGACAGACCTGCATGATAAATTTCCACATATTAATTATAAGAGTTGCATTAACATCCAGTCCTTAAAAAGATATATTTGATAGAAAACATTCCAAGATTCCACGTGGGAAGGTATATGCATAATCCCTGGACCTCTACACCTCTAATACAACCTGTACCTTTCCTAATTTACATGTAAGAAGTCAACCTGGCACATAAACTTTTGCCACTCTCAATTCTCTGCGTTCGTGACAAGCCACCAGTGTACACCTAAAGGAGTGAGCTTTGGTCCACAAAAGCTAGCAGACTGTATGATTTTTTCAGTCATCTAAGGAAGGTCTTACATATCCAGCATTCCAAGATTTAAGTTTCCTTCATCCATCTGGAAAGTATTACTGATATTCCACGTGTAAACAGATTTCCTTTACTGCTACAGTGGGGTCTCTACTTAAGAACTTAATCCGTATTGGAAGGTGGTTCTCAAGTGGAAAAGTTCTTATGTAGAATCTGCATTTCCCATAGGAATGCATTGAAAACCATTTAATCTGTATCTGCTCTTTTCCGTCCATAGAAACTAATGGGAAGCTGCTATTCTGCCTTCAACCACTAGAGGGGGATATTTTTTCTTTCTTTTTTTCCCCTTAGGTCAGGGAACAGTGTTAAAAGCACTTCTGACGAAGCTAATTTTGAAGCAATGGACTGAAAACCAATTAATCTGTTCTGGCTGTTTTTTTGTTATGTAGAGGTGCATTCGTACATTGAAGCATTAGTTCCCATAGGAACTAATGCAAAGCTGGTTAATACGTACTCTACTACTAGGGGGAGAACTTTTTTTTAACCTAAGATGACCTAAGGTTAAAAAAAGAGCAGGAAAGTTTTTTTTCCTGTTCTTATCTTGGATTTTTGTTCTCAAGTAGAAGCAAAATTTAGCAAATGGAGCTGTTCTTAAGTGGAATTGTTCTTAAGTAGGGACGTTCTTAAGTAGAGACCCCACTGTACTTCAGATTTTCAGGAATGTTGTTTTTGGCTTGTAAATATCAAGCTAAAAACCTTCCAATCATTCCCCCCCCCCCAGTTTTTGCTTGTTCTGTTGTAAGCTTGGTCTGTGGCATGGTGGAAAATCCAAAACAGAGTCCCAAAATACTCTGTAGTGTAGGGAGAGGACTTTCCCCTAAATCTCATTACCATCTCAGATTCTTCTTCATGTCTTCTTTTTGATACTGCCCATTTTGATACTGCTGGGCAAGCACATCCAGATCTTTGTGCAGCTTTCTCAACATGGAGGCACTTTTGGATTAGAGCCTGAAATATGTCATATTGTAAGAAATTCTTTTTGTACAGTACATGAGTGTGTACTAGCTTCCCATTGTTTTACAGTACTTAATCCCCATCTCTTTAAACAAGTATAGGTGAGAAAGCTGCTTAGTATGACATTACAAAGGATGCTAATGAGAGTCTTTAGTTCACATGTAGAGCAAATGCTGTACATTAGGCATGGACTGAAGAGAGGTCTGCCACAGGCTTTTTCCAGTTAAATCAGAGAGTATAAATCTTTGTTGATCTTATTTTCTTACTTCATCACAACTATTCTGATTTTGGGTAAAGTGGTTCCAGATGATACCGTCCTGCATCTAAACCGAAATTCTTCTTCTCATTGCATTACTATTTATCTTGAATGAACACCTCTGACCAATGTATTCAGGCCTCTTGCATTTTATGCATCCTATGCTTTTTTTGCCTTCATTTACTTACATGGTTCCAGTGTCACCCTTTGTCATCCTTTGTCATCCTTCATTCAGGACGAATTCACATTTCAAGTGCTTCTGTCTTTTTTCACAGGGGTTTACCTGTGCTAAAATCCATAATTTCATGCCATTCAATAGAACTGATAATACATACACCATACAATGGCCATCTCAGTTTTACGTTTTTTTTTGCAATATTTTTTTTCCTTTTAAAGAAACTGTTCCAGGCCATGTCTGCAGCATTGCTTGTGTTTGCATGCATAATTTGCTCTTTATTCATTCTCTGACTTGCAATTGGGTCTGTAAAAAGAATGAGGAATACCAATATGAACTGTATTATCATTCCAGAAATGACTAGCCATTTTCCCCTTCCCTTTTAAAAATAACATTGCAAAGAATGAAACAAAAACAGAACTGGGGTGCACATTCTAGTACTTTATTCCCATGAGTGCTAACTTGGGAGAAACCAGAGTTAAATACAATTAGCTATCAGTTCTAATTAAAATATAATGAATCTTGATGAGTTCACAGCACTAGGTGTGAACTTTATTTTAGGGTGTGTGGCTTGATTTGCTCAACAGGTAATTGATGTTGCCTCATCTATGCTCCCAAGGAGATTGCTCTGATTCTTCAGAAAATATGACAAAGTTGTGAGCGTGCTTTGCAAATTTCCTATCAGAATGTCAAGAACAGCACAAAATCAGATTGAAAGGACACGTGAAAAGTGTGCAGCCCAGCTAATTGGAGAGCCTATATCAGGCAAGAAAGGGGGATATGATTTTAGGAACTCATTCATGCTGCAAGGCACATTCCTGACCTGTTTTTCTCTGCTGGGCAGGATGGAGATTATCTGAATGTGGAGGAACTCTCAGTAGTTCCATTGTCATGTAGAGATCGCTACCTGATAGTTTAGGTTTATTGGAACTCTGAGCTTCTGCAGGGATGGGGAGCCAATTAAAATGTTCTTCCCTGGGAGACTGATGAATCCAAATGGTTTCCTGATGGCTCTTGAGGAGTTTCTGGTTGTCTTGGAAGGAGATCCTGTTGAGGCCTTGGCAGATCTAATGCAGAAGTGGCCAGGACTATTGACACAATTGCTCCTAAGTGTCCCCGTTCATGGAGTGCAGTGAAACTAGCTCCCTGGTTTACTAGGGAGCTGGGGATGATGATATGAGTGGGATGGAGACTAGAGCGATGATGGCAGAAAACTCAGAGCTAATCTTATTGAACACAGGCTAGAGCTCATTGGAAAGCCTAATCTGTGGCAGTGGTGGCAGCAAAGAAGCAATTCTCTGTCACCATTGCATCTGCATAGAGCCTTCTAGCGGAGCTCTTTCAAGTAGTCAAAGGACTGGTGTACGGATGTCCACTAGAGAAGGATGGTGACCAATTGATGGCCTGCTATGAAGAATTAGCACAACACATTGCAGACAAAGTCACTTGGATCTGCTCTGACCTAGATGCTGTAGTTGATGCAACTCCTGTTGATGTAACTTTGGTCCCTGCTTGTCCTGCTGTAATGGATACATTTGAGTTGGTACAGCCTGAGGATCTGGACAGAATCTTTGTAGTAGTGAAATCCACCATGTGTGCTGGACTTCTGGCTTATAAAAGCAGCCAGGGGAGAACTAAGGAAGATTAGAGGGGGCTAAGGGAGTGGAAAAAGGCCTCTCTGCAGCAGGGCAGGATACCAGCAGGTCTAAAGGAGGTAGTAATAAGACCTTTATTTAAAAAGTCCTCCTTGAATACCACTGTATTAAATAATTATCAGCCACTCTCCAGTATTCCATTTTTTGGGAAAGATTTTGGAGTGTGAGGTAGCATCCCAGCTCTAAAGGTCCCTGGATGGTGCATACTACCTAGTTCCATTTTGATCTGGCTTCAATGAGGTAGCATCCCAGCTCTAAAGGTCCCTAGTTCCATTTTGATCTGGCTTCAGGTCTGGTTATGGAATGATAATTTTGGTCACCTTGGTAAATAATCTACACTGGGAACAGGACAGGAGTAGTGTGTCCGTGTTGATTCTGCTGGACGTCTCAGTGGCTTACTATACCATCAACTGTGGTGTCCTTCTGGGTGGATTTTGGAGGTACTGCCTTACAGTGGTTCTAATCCTTCCTGGGTGGCCAAATTCCAAATGGTGTTGAAGGAATCCTGTTTCATGCCCTGGGCATCAGCCTGTGGTGTCTTCCAGGGCTCGGTCCTGTCCCCTATGTTATTCAGCATCCACATGAAACCTCTGAGAGAAGTTGTCCTGAGTTTTCAGATACAGTACCATAATTATGCTAATGACATGCAACTCTTTCTTCTCATTTGATTCCAAGGTAGCTTTTCTGTACTTTGATCAATTTATGTTGTCTGGATGAGGGCTAACAAACTGAAACTTAATCCGGACAAGATAGAGGTGCCCCTGGTCAGCCAAAAGACAGTTCAGGGAATAGGAATCTTTTTCAGGCAGGTTTTTAAGCAATAAGTGAGAGTCTAGGGAATGCTCCATTTATGGAATTTATAGATACAGTATTTTTAATTTTAAAAAATAGTTTAAAAATTATTAATCTTGATCAGTGTTTAATAGTTTTTAATATATATTTTGTATAGTATTTTAACTTACTATCATTATAGGGTTCTGATTGTTGTGTGCCATCTTGCATCTCCTATGGAGAGAAAGGCAGCATATTAATTTGATTATTTTTATGTCATGAAGATGTCATGCCCAGACTATTGTTTTTCCCATCTCTTGCTTCTGTATCCGAATGTAAGGATTGATTTGGCAGGGATAAAGCATTCAATCAGTTTTAAGTTATGCATTTGAGCATGATTAGAGATGGGAAGGCCTGGGAAAGAACCAGAAAAACTCAGGAAAAACTATGTTTTTTTTTCTGTTTTTCCCCCAAATCCTTTTTTTTAAAATAGTGTATGGAATTTATTCTTTAACAATGATAAATAATATGTCTATGACATGGTATTCAAACTATATAACATGAAGACCTTAATGAAAGACTTCTGAGACTTTATGTATTTAAATTCTCTGATGTTCAAAACATTAAGCCACACAGATTTCGAAGTAAATGGAGCTGTGCTTTTGCCAATGCAGCAGAAGACAATGCACAGAATGGGTAGAATGTAAGGAATTCCAGCCCACGCAGCTGCTCTGTACCACTCTGATCAGCAGTTTTCAACCTTGCAGTAAATAGACAGACTGCATCATTCCATGCTAGTGCTTGGCCAGCCCTGCTTTTGAGCTCAAAGATCCCACACTTGTACCTATATTTGCACACAGACACAGACACAAGCACACTTTTACCAGCCCTTCAAAATCTGCCATATCAAACTTAACACGTCATGCTGCCTAATTTCAGCTTGAAAACTGCTAATTAAAAATTAGTACAGTTACATGTAATTAATTGCTTTTCCAAGTAACAAAGATATGACTACGTTGCATTATGATTGTAATGTGAAGAGGCATAGAGTCACTCTTTTGCAGTTATCAAGTTATTTCCTTTATTGCGGAGGGTAGTTTTATTAAATGGCATAGAAGGAAAATCATGTGGTTCAAATGGTGACTCCTCTTGCGGGTATCAAAACAATGGTGAGGTAGAGTAGAGAAGACTGTGTGACAGCTCTCCCATTGCCTGCACAGAAGGCAAACCATGGCTGCTAGAACTGTATTTGCTGTTGCT